AGCGCGGCCTTGGCTCCGAGCCACTGGGGCCCGTGCCGCAGCGGCGCGCTGCCGCCCTGCTCGCCCGCGTCATCTGGCAGCTGCGGGCCCACCTCGCCGCGGCACCGGCGAAGAACCGCGGGCGGCGCCGATGGGGGGAGGAGAGGCCTCGGAGCGGCGTGTGCATGGAGAGACGGCGCGGCCTCATCATGGGACCCGTTGTCGCTGTCGAGGTCGCCGAACTCGCCTGCTGCTGCATGTGTGCACTGCCGCTTGCCGCGCCGCTCCTCCTCGCTGCCCTCCTGCTCGTCCTCGCAAGTCGCTGTCCAGCGGCCTGCCGACGGCTTGCTCTCGGGAGAGCTGTTCACCGACGGATCGGCCTTGCATCCATCTGGGCCGATGCTGCGTCGGGCGGGCTGGTCTGTGGTCAGCCTGGGCGACTCTGGAGCGATGCTAGCCGCGGCCTTCGGCCCCGTGCCCTGGGATTTTGTGCCTCTCTACACCGCCAAAGATGGGGGGACTACGCGTTTGTCATGCTCAGCCAGCATTCGTTTGGTGTCGGAGGGGTCTGGACCGACTACGTCGCTGCGGTCGACTATGCTAGGCCTAGGTCCAGAGCGACGGCCTCTGGGAACCTCCAAGCCCACCTTGAGTCCACTGTGCATTCCGCCTTCGAAAAAGGGCCTAGATGTGCACAAGACTAGAGCCCACGCTTATGAAGCTGCCGTTGGAAGGGGGTGGACTACTCGGTGGGAAAAGAAATCGAGCGGCATCGCGGATGCCTTGGCTAAGAGTGGTGCTGGCTTCCGCCCTTCCGCATCTCAGGCTGCTGAACAGGTGAGAGGCCTCCAGATGTCGGGTCGCGAAGCTGGCCAGGTAGGGCGCCAGGGCGTTGTAATGGGGGGGCTGATGGGGGGGCTCCGAGGGCCTTCCAGAGGCTTCTGGAACTGGGGCTGGCTCGGGTCGCTCTAGGGTCTCTCCCCCGCTGCCCCAACTTTCCCGTCGCGTTAGAGCGGTGCTCTCGGAGGTTGCCCACGGCCCCCAAGATCCCGAGCTCGGCCTCCCTTGCAATATTACGGCCCACTGCCTGGGTGTCTGCAGGGTGTTCGGCGCTGCTGGAGCAGCCGTGATAACGGCTCCTCGCCTTATGTGCTGCGCTGCGTGCGGGGCCTTCGCCTGGGGGGCCGTCAGGGGCCTCGCGCAGTCGTGCAGCCCTGCGACGGCGGGTTCGGGCCTTCGCCAGCAGAAGCGGCGAATCCAGCTCAGGCGATTCCCCCGTTGGCTGTCTAAATGCGAGGGCTGGAGCCTTGGTGAGCCAGAGCTCCCCATCGCCCTCTGATCTGACGCCAACGGCGGCGTCGGGCCTCTCCCGCCCCAGACCTCCAGCCCCCCCCCTCCCCCACCAGGGCCGTTTTCCGAGGATGTCCCGGACATTGGTGGGTCCAGGAGTCACAAAACCCGGTGGTGACCCCGCGTCCCCAAACCCAGCGGTGACCTTTTTGGGGATTCCAGGTCGCCACCTGGTATCTCACCACCCGGTTTGGGGGTTCCCAACCCTCCCCCCACCAGGGCCGTTTGCCGGCCGGGGCCGCACGTGGGCGTCTACGTGGGCGCCCGGGCGCCTGCTCGCGCGCTTCGGGGTCGACCCGGCGGCGCTGCAGCATTGGGCCCGGCAGGCCTGCGCACTCCCCGATGGGGGTTGAGGCAAAGCCTCGGGGCGGGGGGTGGTGCTCAGTCGGATGAGGATGAGGACCTCTGCGTTTTTTTAGCTGATGTATCTGTTTATGTTTATGTGTATGTATATGTAAATGGATATGGATATGTATATACACATATACATGTGTATATACATGTATATGCATTTTACCCTACCTAGGCTCTGCCTAGAAGGGTTCTTACTCTCTGGGCTTAAAGGGGCCGGGCAGTGGAAAGCGCCCCGGGCGGTCCCCCCAGTATCCGCCCCGCGGTTCCCCCAGTTACGTCCCCTTAGCTTAGCGTTACTTATCTCATTTTAGCTTAGCTTATTTCATCTTAGCTTAGCTTAGCTTCATCTTAGCTCAGGTTTATCTTAGCTGAACTTACCTTCATCTTAGCTTCGCTGAGCTTTAGCATAGCAGAGCACATCATATCATAGCATAGCGTAGCATAACATAGCGCAGCATATCATATCATAGCATAGCCCAGCATAGCATAGCATAGCACAGCACAGCATATCGCAGCATAGCATGGCATGGCATGGCATGGCACAGCATAGCAACTCATGCTGCTTTCCTAGGGGCTTCAACTTCTAGGTAGGGTCGCACTGGGGTAATTATGAATAACAAGTCTCCGCGCTAGGTGGCCCGGACACCATTCGCTCCCATCTTATCTGACCTCGCATATCGCTGCGAGTATTGCTGCAAGTGCTGTTGCTGCCAAGGAAGGCGGGCGCGCCTGCTGGCTGGGGCGCGCGGCTGCCGCTCGATGGGTGCTTGCCAAGGGTCTCCGAGCCACCGTGCCCGTTCTCGCCCTCTTCGTTGGCCTCCACCCTCGCTGCAGACCGTGCCCCAGGCTGCGGAGGGACCAGGGTTTCTGCCGAGCGGCTGTCTTCTCTAGCTCCAGCCGCTCTCGTCAACGCTGACTGCTGACCGTCGGCTCCGACCTGCGAACCAACGTCCAGACCGGCGCCAGCCCGGCCGGCAGCAGCCCGCGGACAACTTCCCTGCGCTGAGGGACCGCCTGGGGCGGAGGGCCTCGGCGCCGCCGAAACCGACCATTTCTGACTCAACATGCTAGGTTTGTTGTGCTGCCCCCTTGGGCCTGCGCTCCAGCGCGTTCCCCTCGAGTTCCTCGCCTTGGCGACCGGCTGCTTGCCCGTGAAGTCTCTTTGCTCGATGTTCGCGGCTGTGCTCAGCTGGCCAATCCAGCCCGCAATCTTGCTGACTGTCTGCGCCTGCTGCTTGAACCTCTCCATCTCGTAAGGCCAGCTCCCGGGGTGGCACTCGGCGCTGGGCTCGGCCTCCTCACCGACCGCCCTGTTGCATAGGGCGAATCGCCTCTCGACGGTGCCGTGGGCCAACCTCGAGATGGCCTGGTGCCCCTTCGCCTCCTTGAAGTAAAACCCGGTTGGTGCCGATGGCATGGATGAGCCACGCGATCCTGCTCCACTGCTCTGCGCGGACGTTGCTGACCGCGTGAAAATAACTGGGTCCAACTGCGATCCCGTCCAACGAGTTCTGGTAGTCGCTGTAAGCCGTTACAAGATAACCTCGACCGCGAAGAGCTCGCCCTCGCCAACCTCCTGCGGCCATCCAGGCGACGGCCCGAGGCAGACCCCCATGACACGTCCCAAGTGGTCCACGGCAGCGCGCCCGAAGCCGATCCGAGTCTCGTCCACGAAGGCGTACGGCATGATGCACTTGTGCCTCTCGCCGAACACCTGCTGACTCCTGAACATGAGCACCTTCAGCCAAGCGGTGGCGAACCCGCAGCCTACCAGGATGCTGCATGGAAGGCAGATCATGTCAGACAGCGCCTCATCTACCTTGCACCGTCGGGGCACTAAGTAGACGTCGAGGCTGACTCTCAACAACGCCAAATTCGCGTCGCATTGCTGCCCCTCCTTCCAGAGAGTGCCGTGCCCGACGCGCTCGTAGGCCTTGGTCGTGTCCAACTGGGGCGACGTGGTGAGCATGCCGACCTTGCTGCCCCACTCTTGGTGAACTGCCTGATCCCACACCGCTCGGTCTGCCGTGCGGCCCGTGGCGTTGTCGAAGTATGGGAGGGCGCGCTCCACTTCCCACTACTGCATCTGCGCTCTCCCCACCTTGGCCCAGATCCCGAGAAAGCCCCCCAGGAGAGGTATGGGGCTCACTCCGCCCTCCTCCTTGGCGAGGGACGCGATAATGGCGACCAGCTGCTGGGGCTGCTGGCCTACCCGCTTTCTGTGCGCGAGCAATCCGCCGAGGAACTCGAGCGCGTCGTCCGACAGCATGGCGAACCAGAGCGGGTGAAAGGCGTCCGAGCCCAGGGCGGTGCGCTGGGGAGGAGAAGGAGGAGAACTGGGTAGGAGTAGATATCGGAACGCGGCTGCAATGATGGACGGGCGCGCAGGGCAATATGCCAGTTGGTGGCAGGCCAACGGGTTCTGGGTGGGGGTGGGGGGGGGACAACCTTTTGAGAATTCCCCCCTTCTCAGGAGGCGCGCGGGGAGCAGCATTCATCAGCACCTCCTGGCTCACTGGACTCACCCCGATGCTGGCCTTTCCTGCTCGACGCAAGCTCAGGTGAGACTACGCGCGCCGGTCTTGCCTTCGCCATTCCTCGCTCCCCCTCCCCCTCGTCTCCGTACTCCGCCCCCTCCCCTTTGGAAATCAGCAGAAGTCCCATGGAAACACTTTCTATGTCGCAGCGCGGCAGAGGCAGTCCGCACGCGCGCTCGGGCAAGCCCGGTGACGGCACTGCAAATTGCCCAGGCGCAAGAGGGAGAAGAGAGAAGCGGCCGCGGGAGAAGGCCTACGGAATCACACGGACAACTGCGAAACCGCGTCTGCCCCCCCCCGCCCCTGCCGGCGACCACCCCCCCCGGCGAAACCTCTTCTGGAGCGCGTCCCGGCCGAGCGTTCTTGGCGGATCCAGCCGTGGCGGGGAGTGGCAGTGGCGCCCCGAGGACCTTCAACGCGTTGAAACTGCAAGAACCGTCGTCGTCGTCGTCGTCGTCGTCGTCGTCGTCGTCGTCGTCGTTGTTGTCAAGAAAGAGATGACTGCACGAACAGAAGCGTTCGGAGGTCCGCGCGAATTTCCCGAATTGGTGCTGGGCCCCTCCTCCCTGACGCGCGGAACGCGCCCATGGCGGCGCCGGAGGCGCCGCCAGAGGCACCCAACGCCGATCCAAGAAGCTCGCGCAGAGCTCCGAAAGCTCATGTTGATATAGTTTCTTCTCTGGCCGGAAGAGCTGATCATATAAAAGTCGCTGTCGTCATCGTCGTCGTCGTCGTCGTCGTCGTCGTCGTCGTCGTCAGAAGCCGAGCCGAGCCCCGCGCAGAGGGCGTGGATCGTGAGGGGTTCCGAGTAGGACCCCCTGTCGAAGATCCTGCGCTGCTCCACCGCGAACTGCAGCGTCCTCAACTCGGTGTGGTCCAGCTCCGCCTTGGTGTTGAACGGGGTGCCTGGCTCGACAGCCGGGAAGCCATGAGGAGAGCGGAGCAAGTACCAGGCACGGAGGTATCCGTGGGCTTTTGGGCAGGGTGCAAGAGGGCGCAGCCTCAGAACGCGTGGGTGTAAAAGGCGTGGTTGCAATCGCAGACGCATCGGTGCATATGAGAAAAACTGATGACATAGGGCACGAACCAGCGCACATAGAAGGCGTGGGTGAAATTGTATACGACCCGAAGCAAACAGACGATGAGGAAGGCGAGGTTCAGGATCGTGCTTGTGGTCGATGTTGCCTGCTGGTGGTCAGTGCTGTTGGTCCGTGCGTGTGCTGTGGTCGGTGTTGATGGTCGGTGTTTTGTGCTGGTGGTCGGTGGTGGTCCGTCGTGGTCGATGCTGTTGGCCGATGGTGGTCAGTGGTGTTTGCTGCTGGTGGTGCTGTTGGTCGATGGTGGTCGGTATTGGTGGTCAGGGCTGAGTCGGTATGTTGTGCTAGCGCTGTCGCTGCTGTTGCTGTTTGACTTTTGTTCGTTGATGCTGGTTGTGGTGGAAAGTTTGCACAGTCAACAGGTGCCTGCCAGGAAACTGCCTTCGCATGAATCCCACTCGTGTCCGTGGCGGCCGTCAGTAATCTAACATCGCTGCTGTCGTGGTGGGGATATCGCTGCGGACGAGTGGCGTCCTGGGTGTTACTCTGTGTGGCTTCGTCGCCGCTGGTCCGATAAGAGCTCTGCAAGAACTTCCGTATGTCGCGGTCCCACCGCTTCTGTTGGCCACCGTGCTGCCGCCGAATCGGGGTTCCGACTCAATGCTCGGTGCGTCTGTCGGTTCGGTGGGTGGCTGGCTGCGCGTGCGGCCGGAGAGGAGGAGGAGGCAGACTTGCCATCGCTCGGACGTCCAATCTCCGTGCGTTTTTCGGTTTCGTGCGTGCCTTTTGTGCTAAATGATCCAGGATTCTCCTCGCTGGTCCCCGTCAAGAAAATGCACACTTCCGAGCGATGCTAAGCCGCTTGCAGCCAGAGGAGTCGTCCGTCATCGCGAGTTCCGATGCAACCCAGCGCCACCACCTCCGCTCGGTTCCTGCTGCGGCAGCGCTCGACGGCCCGTTTGCTGGGCTGGCCTCGCAGAACCCATGCTCGACGGAAACAACATGCCTGCCTGTCCACTTCCAGGCGCCTGGGCAAACGGCGCATCCATCAACCGAAACGGACACTAACGAACTTTCCGACTAAAACTTTCCCAGGTGCTAAACTGCAGTCCGAACCTGGAGAATGGCTGGCGCGGTGCGGTTGAATGCTGGTTCGTGCTTTCGAATCGGAACTCGTGTACTGGCCAGCATTCAAGAAATCTCGAGAAAGGTGCTTGAGTACTACCCGAAACCCAGGATAGATACATCGGCCAGTTGGGCCCAACCTGTTTGATTGTGACTCCACCCGCTGAAGAGAATGGAAACGATCAGTGATACCATGTTCCTGCGGCGTGCTAGTCGCCCTGTCCGCATGGCAGCAATGGAAATACAGTACTGCCAACAGCGCGAAGAACATCTAGACATGTTCTCGAACACGGTGCAGTGTGATGTTGTGCTCCGCGCTTCCATGCAATATTGTGATTTTTTTCCCTACCTAGGCTCTGCCTAGAAGGGTTCTTACTATCTTTGCTTTAAAGGGCCGGGCAGTGCTAACCGCCCCGGGCGGTTCCCCCAGGATCCGCCCCGCGGTTCCCCCAGTTACGTCCCCTTAGCTTAGCGTTGCTTATCTCATCTTAGCTTAGCCTAGCTTAACTTAGCTTAGCTTAGCTTAACCTAGCTTGGCCTAGCCTAGCTTAGCATAACTTAGCTTAGCTTAGCTCAGCTCAGCTTAGCGCAGCATTACCATACCATAGCATAGCATAGCACAGCATAACATACCATATCATACCATATCATCGTATATCATAGCATAGCGCAGCATAGCACAGCGCAGCATAGCATAGCATAGCATATCATAGCATGGTATACCATAGCATATCATAGCGCAGCATAGCATAGCATAGCATAACTTAGCTTAGCATAGGACAGCGCATCATAGCATCGCATATCATATCATAGCATATCATAGCGCAGCATATCATAGTATAGCGTAGCATAGCGCAGCATAGCATAGCATAGCATCGCATATCATAGCGCAACACAGCATTTCATACTATTGCATAACATATCATCGCGCATCATATCATATCATAGCATAGCCTAGTCTAGCATAGCATAGCGCAGCACAGCATATCATAGCATAGCGCAGCATAGCATAGCATATAGTAGCATAGCATAGCGCAGCATAGCATAGCATAGCCTAGCATAACATAGCGCAGCCTAGCATACCCTAGCATAGCATAACATAGCATGACATAGCGCAGCATAGCGCAGCATAGCGCAGCATAACATAGCATAGCATATCATAGCGCAACATAGCATAGCATATCATATCATAGCATAGCATCAAAGCAACGGCACATCAGCAGCAACAACAGCAATAGCTGTAGGTGTAGATGTGGATGTAGGTGTAGATGCAGGTATTCAGCTGTACTACTACTACTACTACTACTGCTACTACTACTACTATTACTACTACTACTACGACTACTACTATTACTACTACTACTACTACTACTACTGCTGCTACTGCTACTGCTACTGCTACTGCTACTGCTACTACTACTACTACTACTGCTACTACTACTACTACTACGACTACTACTACTACTACTACTACGACTACTACGACTACTACGACTACTACGACTACTACTACTACTACTACTACTACTACTACTACTACTACTACTACGACTACGACTACTACTACTACTACTACTACTACTACTACTACTACTACTACTACTACTACCTACTACTACTACCACTACCACTACTACTACTACTACTACTACTACTACTACTACTACTACTACTACTACTACTACTACTACTACTACTACTACTACTACTACGACCGCTACTGCTACAACTGCGACGATGAGGAGGAGAAGGAGGAGGAGGACGGCGTTTACCGTTACTACTAATATTGCCCTCCTCGGGGCTCCAACTCCTAGGTAGGGTCGCTCTGGGATATTTTTTTCACGGCCGTCGTACACCGACGGCGATCCTGCAGGCAAGCTTCGTGAACGACTGACGGCGTCCTCCTTTGGTCCAAGGCGTTTTGAGCCATCTTGGAAAGACAATGCTACCGATAAGCGGCAACAGGGACTTCACACATGTTACTCCGCGCCAGCATACTGCGAGGTAACTCAGAGCATCATATTGCGCCAACATGTGCCTATGTGTCTGGAACTTCCACCCGCGATCTGTGACATATGTCCCGACCAGGCTCAGTCCCGCGTCATTCAGTTCATGGCGTCCTGTCCGTAGCGAGAGCGGATTTGACGGCAACCTGTGGTACTCTTGCTCTACTATCAGTGTCGGTGCAAAGCAAATTTCTGATAAACTGCGCCCCACCCCGCCCTCTCCCTCCCTCGCGCCGCCGCCGCCACCACCTTCGCCGCCGTCTTTCGCTGTCGTTGCCGCCGCCCACAACTGCTGTCGCTGTCGGTGCCATCGGCGTCGGCGTCGCCGCCCTTGAAATCCGCCGACATGTTTTTGTCTATGCGCGGCCGCAACTGTTTTTTTTCAATGAGCGCCCCCGGGGCAATCGTTCGCCCAAATAAACCGAAGCCAGGACGAGCATAACATTGGGTGAAGATCAATCGAGAAATCGAGAGTCTCTGAGATCTGGCGGACCTGGAGGATGTTTCGAGCGCTGCGGCCTTGTCAGAGCGTCCTGGAACGCTCTGACAGCGTTACGGAGCGCTCTGGAACATAGTAATCCTCGTCGTAGCTCCGTCCGACCACATCCGTTCTTGAGGCCCCTGGGGCTCGGCAGCGGGCATTGTGTAGACGGGCGCAAACACACCCGAGCCGGCCGCGCGCAGAACGGCGCGGCCCACCTCCGAGGAGGGCGCCAAAGAGTGCCTGCGCGAACTCCCATGCAATCGGCCCATGCAGCCTCAGGCTGGATCCCGAAACAGGAGCGAATCCACCTCCTCCTCCTCCTCCTCCACCTCCTCCTCCTCCTCCTCCTCCTCCTCCTCCTCCTCCTCCCGAAACAGGAGCGAATCACGTAGCCCGGAGCCGCCCCAGCTGCATGGGGCTCTCTGGTAGCCGGCAGGAGAACACGGGCGCCGGCGCCACACCCGCTTGCCCGCCGGCCCAACGAAAGGATGGATTACCCACGGCAGCGTCAGGGCTTTCGTTCCCCCTCACCTCCGAACGTCATGAGGCCCCCGTGAGGTAGCTCCGTCGACAAGAGCCCTTCCAGGGTGGATCCGAGGGCCGCATCCTGCACTCGGCTGGCTGGGCCCAGCGGCAAGAGTCTCTCCCCAAGCTGCGTCCGGCAAGGGCGACGAACGGGCTGCTGCCCGCCTGCTTTCCGGAGACGGCCGGAGCCCTCTGTGGCTCGGTCGCGGGCCCGCGGGCACCGGAATCGAGAGACAACGCCCAAATAACAAAAAACAAATCGTCGGAGATCCGGGCCCTCCCGTCGCTGTCGCTGCCATCGGCGCCGCCGCCACACTCCTCGCCTCTACGCAGGAGTGGGCCCCAGGCAAGAGTGACCTCTGGTGCGTGGCCTTCGGGGGCCGCGGGGGGGGGCCATATCCAAGCAAGCAGGCCAGTGTTGGGGGGACCCCTGCGGTCCCGCACCACAGGTCACTCTGGTGCGGGGTCACTCTCACGCGTAGCCGACTTCAGACGAAGCCAGAGCTAGGACAAATTCGGGTGAGGATAAGTCGAGAATCTCCGAGATACGGCGGCTCTGGAGGATGTCTCGGGCGCCGCGGCCTTCTCGGAGCGCTCCGGAACGCTCCGAGAGCGTTCGGGAACGCTCTGGCACGGAACTGTTACTCTCGTCCTAGCCCCCGCCCGATCTTACGCGTGGCCGACTTCCGCGGCCCTGGCACGGAACACGTCCACCGCCGGGATCAGCGAGAGCGCCGCGGCCAGCACCTTGGTGGCCCCACGCTGCCCCGACCACCGCGCGGCTGGCCATCCTCGCCCTCGGCGCCGCGGCCTCGACTCGACGACGGCCATCTGCTCCGATCTGGCGTGCGGACTGCGCTTGCGCGACGCCCTCGGCATCCGCCGCTGACGACGGGTGCGCCCTCACCCCGAATCAAACATCAGATCCACTTGCTCGAGTGGCCAGCTCCTTGTTGCACGGATGCGCGTGTGCAACGAGGTCATCCTCTGCTCCCAAGGGGGTCATTGAAGGGGCAGAAAACAATTAGCCTGGTGAAGGACCTAACCATATGCAGCTTTGAGTATCGCAGTCGTGACTATAATGTTCGATGGGGCTCCCTATGAGGCCACGATCCTCGTGAGGGGTGCGCCGAAATGGGGCGGGGCCGCCATGCGAACTTTCCCTCTGGGGCCTTCTGTGGAGCTCCCTATGGGGCCACGACCCTCGTGAGGGGTGCGCCGAAATGGGGCGGGGCCGCCATGCAAACTTTCCCACTGGGGCCTTCGGTGGAGCTCCCTATGGGGCCACGATCTTCGTGAGGGGTGCGCCGAACTGGGGCGGGGCCGGTGCGCCGAAATGGAGCGGGGCCGCCATGCGAAATTTCCCATTGGGGCCTTCGGTGGGCCACGATCCTCGTGAGGGGTGCGCCGAAATGGGGCGGGGCCGCCATGCAAACTTTCCCACTGAGACCTTCGGTGGAGCTCCCTGTGAGGCCACGATCCTCGTTGGAGGTGCGCCGAAATGGGGCGGGGCCGCCATGCAAACTTTCCCACTGGGGCCTTCGGTGGAGCTCCCTAAGGGGTCAGTGAGGGGTGCGCCGAAATGGGGCGGGGCCGCCAAGCGAACTTTCCCTCTGGGGCCTTAGGTTGAGCTCCCTATGGGGCCACGGGCCGTGTGAGGGGTGCTCCGAAATGGGGCGGGGCCGTCATGCGAACTTTCCCATTGGGGCCTTAGGTGGAGCCCCCTATGGGGCCACGATCCTCGTGAGGGGTTTGCCGAAATGGGGCGGGGCCGCCATGTGAACTTTTCCTCTGGGGCCTTAGGTGGAGCCCCCTATGGGGCCACGATCCTCGTGAGGGGTGTGCCGAAATGAGGCGGGGTCGCCATGCGAACTTTTCCTCTGGGGCCTTAGGTTGAGCTCCCTATGGGGCCACGAAACGTGTGAGGGGTGTGCCGAAATGAGGCGGGGCCGCCATGCGAACTTTCCCATTGGGGCCTTAGGTGGAGCTCCCTATGGGGCCACGATCCTCGTGAGGGGTGTGCCGAAATGAGGCGGGGCCGCCATGCAAACTTTCCCACTGGGGCCTTAGGTGGAGCTCCCTATGGGGCCACGATCCTCGTGAGGGGTGTGCCGAAATGGGGCGGGGCCGCCATGCGAGCTTTCCCATTGGGGCCTTGGGTGGAGCTCCCTGAGGGGCCACGAATTGTGTGCCGAAATGGGGCGGGGCCGCCATGCGAACTTTCCCGTTGGGGCCTCCGGTGGAGCTCCCTATGGGGCCACGAAACGTGCGAGGGGTTTGCTGACTTGGTGGGCACGCGGAGAACAGAGGCACGACGCTGACGATGGCGATGTTGATGACGCCGATGATGGCGATGGTGCCCACGATGATGGTGGTGGTGATGATGATGATGATGATGGTGATGATGATGCTGCTGCTGATGATGATGATGGTGATGATGATGCTGCTGATGATGATGATGATTATGATGATGATGACGATGGTGATGAAGATGACTACGATGACGATGATGATGGTGAGAGGCGGAGGGAGTGGGCAGCGGGAGGAGGGAGACGCGGGGCGCTGTCTCTTCAAAACGAGGACCCAACACCACAGGATGGTTGGGAACAACCCATGCCGGTGGACTCCCGCACTTGCCGAGCCGAGAGGGCCCCCTCGGGGCTCCCCCGCCCGCACCTGCAGGGTCCACCGCGCCCTCCGTCACAGGGCCGTTCTGCTGGTGGCCCTCCGAGAGCGGGGCAAAGCAATCCTCCTCCTCCTCCTCCTCCTCCTCCTCCTCCTCCTCCTCCTCCTCCTCCTCCTCCCCCTCCTCCTCCGCCTCCTCCTCCTCCTCCGCCTCCTGCGCCTCCGCCTCCTCCGCCTCTTCCTCCGCCTCCTCCGCCTCCGCATCCTTCCTCCTCCTCCTCCTCCTCCTCCTCCTCCTCCTCCTCTTCCGCCGATTCGGGGATCTACTGACCTGGGTCGATGCAAACCCGGGTCAGTCAGGCCTTGCAGGATCCTGCAGCACCCTGCAAGATCCTGCGCGCGGGCCCGATCCCATGCACCCCTGGCCCCGCAGGATCCTGCAGGACCCGGCGCTCTGGCCGACCCCCGCTTGCATGGACCCCCGTCGCTTGAGCCCCGACTGATGCTGTGGACCGAGTCGCAGGTCAAGTTTTGCTCGCGGCGCCCAGAGGCCTGGGGCACCACTCTCTCGGGACTCTGGGCGTCTCGCTGGGGGGCGCCACTGCCTCGAGTCGGCTGCCTGCAGGCCCCATGCGGCACCTCTGCGGCGGGGGTCTAACGTGGTGTCTGGGAACCAGATGGCGAGGCGGCAGAGGCTACCGTGCGGCCCTTCGAAGGGAGCTCTGGAAGCTCTGGGAGGGAGCTTCCCTCGACAACCTCAGGGCACGCGTCTTGGGCAAAGAGTGAGAAAAGGCCTTCCGGGACACGCTGCAAGTCTGCAGGCCCCTGCGGAGGTCCTCGGTGGGGAACTTTTGCACAGCGGGTCGCGGCGGCGGCCCCGGCGACGCGCTGGGCCCTGCGAGTGGGCAGCGTGTCGCTCCGCTCCGCGAGCGGCGGGGGAAAGCTCGGGACGTGGACGCTCGGGGACTGGGAAATGGATGGCGTGTCGCGCCGAAGCGAGTGGGCCAGAACGGGCAGAGGAGACGCGAAGCCGCAGCGAGCATACCTGTTCGACACTTGTAAGACGACTGTGCGCGGCGCTCCATCGCGAACCACATCTTGAAAAGAAACCGCCCACCGTCCGGGAACTGTTGGAGTGTGTACGGCGCTAGGGCGAGGCCATATTTTGAACACGACCTGTGTTTTATCAGAGTAACCGTTGGAAACTGTTCAAACGAATGTACGCGCTCCATCCGTGTAGCTCTTGGAAACTTCTAGCTTCGGGGTCACCAACGGGAAGGATGTCTCAAGCGAGATGCCAGATCCGCCCTACTGGCACGTCTGGTGGTCAGAGGAGGGGGGATTTTAAGGAAAAGGGATGAAGGAGGAGATAGGCCACCCCGTGCGCTACACGCAACCGCACATTGTGGGGTCGGCTGTCGCCAAACTTCCCAAACAATGCTTGCACTTTAAGGGCTCTTACTTTACTTCGTTAAGGTAATTGGTCGGTATTCGAAGTTTTCACCCGTGCCGCCTCGTGGTGGGCGCCTCGTTGGCGCCCCGCATTTGGGGGGGCATGCCGACGTTGCGCCACGCTGCCGCCCGTGACGCCTCGCGGTCGCTTCGTGGGCGCCCCCCTTCGCTGGGGCGGGGGCTCGCCGAGGCTGCGCCGCGCTGCCGCCCGTGCCGCCCCGTGGGAGCCCCGTTCGCTGGGGGGGTCTGCCGACGTTGCGCCGCGTTGCCGCCCGTGCCGTCTCGTGGGCGCGCCTCACTCGCTGGGGTGGTGGGGGGGGTGGGGGGTCTGCCGAGGTTGCGCCACGCTGCCGCCCATGCCGCCTAGACGGGCGCCTCGTGCCCAAAACTTTAAATCAGCGACATACCTTTCACCGTATAGCTTACGCCACAACGCTTGCACCGTGTAAAGCATAACAACGCACACACATATATATATATATATATATATATATATATATATATGTAAATGTCTGTGTGTTTGTGGCATGACATCTATTACATCGCATAGCTCTTACCCCGTAGCTTTCACCTCCGATGCAAGCCGCCCACATTGCCCGACATAGCTTAAACCACACAACTTAAATCACGTAGCTTACACGACATAGCTCTCGTCACAAAGCTTACACCGCACAATTTTCACCTCCACAAGCAATAACGCACTGCTTGGGGTCCTCGCTGGCAAACGTTCTTGAACACATCTCTTTTCTTTCGCGTGGAGTGGAATTTCCGAAAGGCCCTCGGACACCTCAACAAGTCCCCGGAGGACCTTAGACGTCCCCGGAAGCCTCTGGAGACCCCGAAAGAAAGCGAAGACGCCCCAAACTTTTCCGATCAAGGATCTGGTTCCCCCTCCGATGACGCCGACCTCAGACATCCGATGCCTTGTTTTTTTCAATACGGGGTGCCCGGGAACCCCACCCTGTTTCCAAGGCTGGCTCTTCGTCCCGAGTAGTTTCTTGACGGTCCTGGGGCCCGGCGAAGGCCCCCAAACTAGAGGCCTCCTTCATGGGGTCCGTGTGCAAGGGGGTCGGAGGATCGCGCCACATCGCTGATGTATCGCCGACGTATCGACGATGCATCGGCGACTTCGCCGATGCGTCGGCGCAGCCTGCGTGGAGAAACTCGGGCTCCACATCGAGCCGCATCGCCTATACATCGGCGACGTGGAGCGATCCTTAGACCCCATCTGCTCGGACCCCACCTGGGAGGCCTGGGCAAATGCAGAAACCGACAAACAACCCTCGGCCTGATTTTCTCGAGACGTCGGGTGTCTGGGATGACCGCGGCGACGGTCCGAGACGTCCGGGCCGGCCCGCGCGGAGAAGAGGCGGCCGCCACGGCGTCCGCGGCGACGTTCAGGGACCAGCCCAGAACCATCAGTCGGCCGAGGCACACGTCGGTGGGCAGCTTGAGACATGCGGCGCCTCGGCGGCCGCAACGGCTGATGTGATGGTCTTTTCTGCTGTTGAACAAAACCGAATGATGCGGGTCTGGCGCAGCAGGGTCCGCAGGGAGAGGTGCAGACGTGCTTGGAATAGTTGGTGCCTGGGTCGAAGAGCAGCGCGCTGGGAGCAGTAGCTGCGCCTGGATGCCTCGGCGGCGAGCGAGGGGGGAATGAGAAGGAGAATGCCTTCTCAGAGGGTGGCGGGACTTCTCAGAAGCCCTCGCGCCTTCTGGGACGTCTTCTGTGTCTTCGTGGAAGGCTCAGCTCCTCAAAAAGGCGCGAGGGACTTCCGAGCCCTCTGAGAAGGCCTTCCCCTTCTCGCTTCCCCCCCGACGCGCCGCTGAATGCAGCTGTGTACCTTTTCTCGCCAGCAGTGCCAATCGCCCGTGCAATATTTCGCGGCCCCTCCGCAACAATTGTTGCCCGGGTGTGCTGGATGGAGTGCAGTCGGACCCAAGACAGAAATGCCATCTTTCGAGAACATGAGGCCCTCCGCCGGCCGAAACGAAGGGCATTCGAGGGTACCCTTCCCAGGATGCGAGGAGGAGGAGGAGGAGGAGGAGGAGGAGGAGGAGGAGGAGCAGGAAGTGGAGGAGGAGGAGGAGGAGGCGGAGGAGGAGGAGGAGGAGTAGGATGAGGAGCAGGAAGTGGAGGCAAAAACATCCACCACACACGAAGAACATTAGGGTACCCTCCCCGGACCGAGCTCGATCTTATATCTCGGTCCGACCGTGGCTGCGCGCCGGGTGCAATAGTGGCACGTGGATCCAGCTGTGTACCCTGTCTCACCCGCAGCACCTGTCGCCGTAGCGATAGGTCTGCGGCCCCCCCAACACTGGCGTACCATTGCACGCGGAAGTGTGCGCACAACTCACGAACGATTCCACCTCTCGCCGCCGACCTTTCTGCACCAGACCCGCTGCTCCACCTTAGAGAACTTTCTGCACGTCCTCGATCACACGTGTACAGCCGCGAATCTGATCAAGACACGTTGTCCTTTAAGCCATCTGGGCCGGCTTCCCAGAAGAGCTTCTGCAGACAAGGCCAGGGCCGACATCTGCTGTTCGCGCTGGAGGCGGCAAACGGTTCGCGTGCGCAAGAAACTGGGCCAGCTCTCCGGCGAGCTGGTTCAGAAACGCTGGCCCAGCTTTTCGGGGGGAGGCTTCTGCACCAGATGATCGCTATGACGGCCCACGCTGGCCTCCCAATCGTGACCCTGTCGTTCAGGGAGACCGCAGATGGAAGGTGGATTGCCCGAGGAAGCCCCCAGAAGCCCCCAGAAGGCGCCCAGGAGGCCCCCAGAAGGCGCCCAGGAGGCCCCCCGATGTCCCCAAGAAACCTTTAAAAACTTGCGTGAGGCCCCACAAGTCATTCTAAGGAAGAGCCTCCGCAAAAAGAGCTGAGGAGGATACGGAAGAATTCGCAAGGTACGGCGAGAAGAAGAAGAGGAAGCATGAGGGACAGATAATTCATAACATCATCAATTCTATCGGCGGTGTTGGAAAAAGGCAACAGGGCGTTATCGCTAAGTTGTCTCTTCTACCTTCCTGCCCTTCCGCCCGCAAGCCAAACTTCAAGGACCAAGTGCATGTCGCGAAACGCCAATGCAGTCTTGCACAGATGTCTATACCGATATGACTATCGATATTTACATACGTATGCTTATGTCAACACATTGACCCCTTAAGCCATGCGTTATTGCACTGTGGAGGTGAAAGCTAAGCGGGGGAATTCACCTTGCCGAACTTGAAGTTGTCGGCTCCACTGCTCGCGCAATCATCCCACCCACCCACCCACAACTTGGTTTGCAAAACCCAAGAGGAGGCGATTGCGATGAGTGCTTGGTGTTGGCTGGTGCATCTCTGTGGCCGCGCTAGCCCGCGTATGCTCGCGCGCGCAGCGGCCAGCTAGTTGGGCGCGACCGACGCAAACGCGGTGGCGCTGACCGCTCGGCACATCCCAGCTGGCACTCCAGTGCGAGTCGGTGACTTGGGCGGGCACGGTATCATGTCAACGTCGACAACGGTAGACACGATGATGATAGTAACGATTCTGGGGACGATGCTGACAGCGACGACGGCACGGCCAGTGACGGCGCCGACGATGACGGCGTCCTCGCGTCGGTGATGAAGGTTTCGGAAAGAGTTCGACATGCGCGCGCGGCCGACGCGCGAGAATGGTCCATGCTATTTGATACGGACCGTGCCCCCCAACACGCGCGCAAAGGCGTGCGAATGATGTCGGCATGCGGCGCCAGAGGCCCTTTTGGCAGAATTCCATTGACATGTTGGAAAACCTATGATTTGCGGGAGTTTCCGCAAGAGCGCGAGCGCACGCTTTTTGGAAAACTGATGTTGCGAAAACATGTGTTTTATATGTGATTTGGGCACTCGGCTTTGAAGTCGCTGCGAAGCCTAAGGCTTTTGACGGATTTCGGCATGCGCGAGCGACGAAGCGCGCGTGCACTCGTACCGTTTCTTGCATTGGATTCTCGCGACGGCACGCGCGCATCGACATGCGCGCGCGAAACCCGTTTGGTAGCATTCTTTGACAATGATGAAACAACCTATGGTTTCCTTAAGAATTCGCAAGAACGTGCGCGCAAGCTTTTTTTGAGCATCCGCGTTGCGAATATATATATATATATAGACATAGACATATGCATATATAAAGTTGTGTTTTGGACACTCGCTTTTGAAACCCTTAGGGATCCGAGGATTTTTGAAGGATTTTGGTACGCGCGCGCGACAACGCGTGTGTTTGTACTTCGTCTCGTCGCGCATAATAAATTTTGCAGAGGATGGCGGGGGGGGGGGCGATACCGGCCCCCGTGGGATTGTGTAAATTCATATTTAGGGTGGACGATGAGGCAGAGCCATATGTAAGTTGCAAGACGAAAAGAAGCGTCGATAATCCCATGGGGGGTAGACTCTACTCTCTTTTCAGTTCGAAAGGAGAATTAACGTGGCGATCGCTATGTCATGTAATATGGGTGTGAAAGCGATGTGGTGTAAGCTATGTGGTGTAAGCCATGTCGTGTAAGCTGGGCGGTGTGAACTGGAGACCGTGCGGGGGTCCGTCCAGCGGTGCCTGGACATGCGCTTTGGCTAAACTGGGTACTTCGGGTTGTTTGGGTTGGTGGGCGGATCCGTCCGCCTCAGCACGCGGATAATCAGACGCACGGTGCTTGAGCAATCAAGGCATGACCAAAAGGCTGGCGCGCACCACAGCGCACAAACTATGAGCAGGACGGCTCTTGGGCTTCAGCCCCGTCCACAGGCGATTTCGCCTTCGCTGCCTTTGAACAACAAACCTTGGCCAACCATTCCGCTGCACAGCTCCCCCCCTCGCCTCCACCGACAACTGCATGCCATGACGCCGATAGCATTACCAGCCAGATGATGAACACGCAGCAGCACATCCCAGCCAGGAACACAAACGACATGGACCAACGCAGTAAGCATGACACGGACACATCAAACATCCAAGAGGACCCCGGAGGCTCTCAAGAGGCTCCCAAGAACCCCTCAGAGTGAGGGGGGACGATAGGGGGGGCTGGCTCAGCGGGGGAAGCATCGACGACAGATCGGCGATGGGCATCCTATTGCAAAACCGCACTTTCCCGGGCGGAGTTGGATAGCAAGCCCCGATCGGCGATGAATGTGCCATTAGGGGTCGATGCGTCCCCCCTGGAGCCCATCCCTCCCTGATGATGCCCCTGTCAGAGAAGGCGGGAGAGATGATGGATCGGGGATCTACTGCCCCAGGTCAATCCAAACCTGGGTCAGTCAGGCCTGGCGGGATCCTGCACAATTGTGCAAGATCCTGCAGGATCCTGCACGCTAGCCCGGGTCAATGCGACCCTGGCTCTGCATGATCCTGCAAGATCCGGCGCTCTGGCTGACCCCCGTTTGCACTGAACCCCGCTTCTTGAGCCCTGAGCGGCGAGAGGGATGAGGGAGCCGACTCTGGTCTATCGGGGACGCGGCGCCCAGGGCGCTCGGCACGTTGCTGGCCACGAGCGCGCCGAGCTCGTACAGCTCCTTCAGGGCCGACTCGACGCGGCTCTCCTGCCGGGAGCGGGGCGGCGCTGCTCGGCACGGATTGCGCGAGCCCGCGTGAGGCGCAGAGGCGCAACGATCGGGGTGGGGCAGGCTCAGGGATTGGAAACATCGACCTGGAATCGGCGATACGGTGAGGGCATGAGATGCAGTCGGACCTGGGACAGAGGAGCATCCTTCCAGAACGCGAGGCCCTGCGTCGGCCAAAGCACACAGAGCATCCAAGGGGTGTTACCCCCAGGATGCACAAGAGCATCCAGCAAGCACGAAGAATACTAGGGCACCCTCCCCGAATCGACCTCGATCTTATACCACGGTCCGACTGTGAGGAACCCTTGGGCAAGGAATCCAGGGCCTGAAGCCGGGGGGGACCCAGTCGTGGATTGGCCATGGACATCACCGCCGCCCTCATCCGGTAAGGACTGGTCCAGGGTCTGAAGGCTCCTGGGCGCAGTCCTGAGCGAGCGCCCCCATCGCACACCTCCGAGACCACGGCGATGGCCCCTCCGCGAGCGAAAACGCACGCTCCTGGGCGGGGCAGGCTATCGGGCCCCCATCGGCGATGAACGGGCGATTGGGGCTCGATGCGCCACCCCCCTGGGCCGATCCCCCCCACTCGTCCTCGCCTGCTGGTTTTCGGGTCACAGCTCGGGTCTCCGGCGCTGGTGCGGGGCGCTCCGGGCAGCCCCGGAACGCTTTCGGCGAGGCGCAGTCGCTGGAAGGCACTCCGAGGCTTGACAACCGCCGAGAGCCGACGAAAACTTCCGAAAGCCGCAAGCCTCGAGGCCTTTTCGATTGGTGCTCGACGCGCCACCCCCTGAGCCCATCCCCGCCCCCACAGTTGCCCCTGAGGGAGCACGTGCGCGCGCGGGCACGGTACCTTCGACGCCGGCGCTGTCCGCAGGGGGGGGAGCGGCGAGGAGCAGAAGGGTTTCGACGCCCTCTGGGGCGCCAGGTCCGACTGGCGTCTGCGGCGTCTGCGGGTGCCCCCAAAGCGCCAGCTGCGGCATCCCCAAAATAGTTGAGCTTGGCTGGAGAAGACACGCGAAAGGACACAAGAGCCTTGCGAGGGCCCGATTGCCATATGAATGCGTACGACGCGGGCCGCGCAACAGAGGGCACAAGGGGACCCTTGACTTGGAAGGGTCGACTTATATACGAGTCAAACACGACTGTAGGGTGAAGATCGGCTGGCGTTTGGGGCAGCGCCCACGTCCTACACGGAGACAGCTCCCGACTGCCACTCCCCTGACGGAACGCGCGGCGGCCAGAGTGGTCCGCTTGCCAGTGCCAGGGCCCCGCAAGCGGGGGATTTGCTAAGCCAGGGCGTCGGCGCACCCAAGAAGATTGCAGCCGCGGGTCGAGGCATTCTCCACGCTTCGCCTTCTCCCTGAGAAGGTGTCCTTGTTTGCAATGGCCTGGTCTCTGTGGCCCCGACAGCGGTCCCCGACACAACCAGCTCCCGCGAGAGGCCCAGATATTCTGGGCCCAGGAGCGCATGGACGACTTGCACAGCTGGGCCGAACCGCAGCACAAGAGGGCAAGGCGTAGAAACACAAACACTGGCATAAACTTATAAACTTTCTGCGTCGGCGGCAAGGAACAGGATGACTGCGCTAGCGATGAGAGGCTTGAGCGGGGATGCCGTTAGAGCGAATTCTGCCACCATGCAAGAGGAGGAGCGTGGAGAGGACGCGGCAGAAAGAAAACAGGGACGGGGCGGGCGGCTCAGGAGTCAGATCGCTCGCTGGCCTAAAGACAATCTTTTGGAGGTCCGCGCGGATTTCTCGGATCTTCGTTGAACCCCCTTCCAAGGCGCGCGGAGCGCGCCAGTGGCGGCGCCGGAGGTGCCGCCAGGGGGGGCCCAGCGCAGATGTAAGAAATCCGCGCGGAGCTCCAAAACTCCATGTTCATGCGGCTGTGTGTTCTTCGAACGCACAAGAGGCCAAGGCGACACAACATGCCCGCATCCAGAAACCGCACCCTGACTTCGGATCCGCCTTGTTTTGGGCGATCTCGCAAGTGGGAAAGACATGTCCGCCCTACTTTGCCGTCGCTAGTCTCGGCATACGTCAGCGTAGATCTCCGCCCCACTTTGCTGAGGCAGAAATCACCGCCCTGCTTCCTCGCGTCGCCGGGGTGTGTCTCCAGTCTCAGGCCAGGGTGTCAGCCAAGGTACGGCGCATCTGAAATCATGGCGCAAACGCCAACATTGACACACCTCTCTCTCTCGCTCTCTTTCGTTTGGACGCCCGAAACGGGTTCGGAGAAACAGTGGGCACGGTGCCCAACAACACTTTTTACGTCGCAGCGCGGCAGAGGCAATCCGCACGCGCGCTCTCGTGAGCCAGGCTATGGCAGACACTATCTGTCTCGCGGCAAGAGGGATGGACCTGGGCAGAGCGCGGCCGCGGAGGGCAGAGGAGGAGGGAGGGCACTCACAGCACGAAGAACTTCAGCTGGCGCACGACTCCCATCAACACGTGTTGCCCCGAGCCGACAGCGGCCGCCGTCAAGCCGGCGGCCTCCTGCCTCAACAGGGCAGCGCCCGCGGCAGCGCCGACGGCGAGCCCTGTTCCGAGTGGGCAGGGCCTGCTGTCGGTCCGTGTGCCCAACCTCTCCGCACCCAGTTGAGGAGAATATTGCGAAGGCCTTGCGGCCGGTGCCGCCGACCCTGAAGGGGGACGACGACTACGACGGCGGCGGCGGCGGCGACGACGACGACGCTGACTTGGGCAAGAAGGATGCTTCTTAGGGTCTCTTCGGAAACCTCTCGGGGACCTCTGGACCCAATTGAGAATATATTCTAACCGTGACATGGCTTGCGGATAACGGTGACATGCCGTAGCGTCGTAGCGCAGCGTGGCGTCGTGTCGTGGCGCTACGACGCCGCGCCACGACGCCACGCTACGACCATGCAACGGTGATCCGCAAACCGTGTCACGGTCAGACGAAAACCATCTCCTCCTCCTCCTCCGCTTCCTCGTCCCCCTCCCCCTCCTCCTCCTCCTCCCCCTCCTCCTCCTCCTCCGCCTCCTCCTCCTCCGCCTCCTCCTCCTCTTCGTCCTCCTCATGCCACGGTCCGAATCCCTCTTCTGCCGATTTCGGGTGGGGCCGCCTCGCACCCCCACCGAGCTCTCGCCCACAGCGCCTGCCCGCGGAGCCCGCACGGGGCCCTCCGGCGGCCTCTGACCCGGGGCGAGAGAGAGAGAAAGAGAGAAGCCATGCCCTCGGCACCTCGGTGGGGAGGCCGCCTGACAAACCGGTCAGCTGGGCGGGGGCATGTTAGTGATCACACGCCTACTTTAGGTCGGCCATGTCCTCCAGCAGGCAGATTTTGGAAGACAGATCGAACATAGCCAAACCAATGATCAAAACTAGCCAACAAACAGGGCAAATCGTCACCATACTTCTTGCTACCTTTCTTCAGTATCACTCCTGTGGAGGGACATGCCTGACTTAAGCCTAGATGCCCCGAT